ATTAAGAGTTTTTTCTCTGTCTTTGCTATGTTTAGGTGTGGATTTATGTATTTTATTTATCCTACTCAGGACTTGGATTGCAATCCAAGGGCCCTTTTCCTCGGTTCAGAAATTCTCAGCCATTATCTCTTTAAATAGCGTCTCTACCTCATTTTCTTCATGAACTGCTATTTGACACATGCTGGCGTTTCTCATTCAGTTCTTTAGCTTTCTTAACTTCTCTTTTGTAGTTTCCATCTCTATCTCTGTGCTGAATTCTATGTGATTTCTTCGTATCTATCTTCTACCTTGATAATTTTCTTTTCAGTTATCTCTTGCTTAGTATTTAACTTGTGTTATAAGTTTATGCAAGATTAAATTTTATTTCTCTTTGATCTACCCATTTTCATATATTCCTTTGTACTTTTATCTCTGAACATTTTACACATATTTGAATTCTTTTTCAGACTGCTTTGTTTTGTGTGGTTTAGGTTGTTACTTTTTTGTTTATTGTGTTTGTTGACTCACTCTAATAGTATTGAGTTTCTTCATGTGCATTGTAGTTTTATTTATGAGCTTATCTTCAGTGGGAGTCTCACTTGTGCCCTGGGTTGGGAAGTGTTCTCATAAGATGTTTTGTGTTTGTGAGGTTCCAGACCAGCTTCCTTTTGTTGTTGTTGTTGTTGAATGAAGATGTGAATTCACCTAAATAGGAATCCCAGGAAGAGAAGTAGATATGAGGCAAAGATAATGAATTCTGCTTTGTGGATGTTTTGTTTGGAGTTCTGAGTTGATTAAAGAGGCGATTTTAAATAAGAACTTAGGATAAATAACAGAAGAGAAACGTTGACTTCAGCCTTGGGGAAGATGACCATTATGATGGACTGGATTCCTTGGGCTCCTTCTGGTTCATAATGTATTTACTCCCAATTTTCCATTCAGTATTTCTGAAGTCTCAGGAAACTTGGCGCCAGGACATGAAGGTAGCAAGGCTGGAGGTTGCATCACTATATGAGCTTCCCCTAAGTCATCTAGCACTGCATAGATTACTGGCTTATTGTAAAACGGTATAACTCAGGAACAGCCAGATGGAAGAGATGCTTAGGCCAAGGTATGTGGGAAGGAGTGCAGAGCTTCCATGCTCTCTGAGCATGCCACTCTCCCCAAATCTCCATGAGTTCACCAACCCAGAAGCTCCCAGGCAAGCTTCTTCTTAGTTTCTTGACTTGTCCTTTCTGTGTACTATGCAGATAGTGTGAACTTTGGTTACATATCTATCCATGAAGCTTGTTTGGTGTTCTGACTTCCTGTGGATGACTTCAGGGCTGGCAAGGATTTTAGGTTGTAGGGCACGTAAGTCCTGCCCTGTAGCTCTATTGAGGGAGTTGAGTTTCACCTTTTAACCTTTGTCTTACTTTCTCTTCCCGACAGTGTGGTGCTGATAACCCCTGTGGCCCACTTGCAGCAATGCCTTACCACTTGGGCTTTAAGTTACTTTTTTGTTTCTGGCACTTCAAAATTTTGCCATGTTGGTTGCAGACTCAGTTATGTATTTTTTGAACTATACTTTAATTTGTTATATTTTGGCCATTTCTGTTTTTGAGTTGGGGGTCAGGTGGTCTTTCCACATTTGCTTAGTCATCCATCTTGAATGGAAGTCCACTAGTAAACTTAGTAAAACTAAATTCCATGTAACGTAACACTGTGGAGATAAACTAGTTTGTAGACTTGTGTATTTGGGCGTTTTATAAAGAGTCCCCTCGTCAAAATTGTACATTTTAGTAAACTGTCATTTAAAAGAAATTAATCTAATAGGCATGAATGGGTCTCTCAGAACTTGAGCTTTGAAGCAATGAAATCAGTTCTAGGGACATTATGCATAAAACTAGTCAGTAGCTTGGGCTTAGAATTTTGGGTTTCAATTTTGTATAATGATCAAAACTCACCATAACTAGCACTGAGTGATTGAGTCAGGAGCCCACTCATCTGATCTATATTAATTACAAGGGCATTTTACTCATAAACTCAAATGGGAAGTGACTCTCATTTTCAAAGCAAACATTTATGTAATTTTCAAATTTATAGATAAATATAGAAGCAAATAGCAAAAAGATGTCTAAAGAAACTTCAGACTCTTTTTTTCTTGACAGTAAGACACCTTGGCTGCGGGGTAATCTGTCAGACATAAGCAGTCAGCATAGGAATGGGGTTTGTTGATGTTTACAGACTTGAATTTATTTCCCTGTGACTTCTTTTGTGTCTGAAATTTCTGAATTCTGAGCTTCTCTGAAAATGTTTATGGCAAGTAAGTCTTTCTCAGATGTATTCCCCCACTCCTTGTGTACTGTGGGTTGGGTTTCTTCTGCAATGTTCAGGTATCCTTTTACACCTATATTTCTTGAAATTGCTTGTATACTGATTTGTGTGCCTTGCGCTTTCTTCCACCTTAGTTTTTTTGGATATTGTGCTTATCTTCTAAATTCCTTAATATTATTTTAATGGGGGTTTGGAGTGAGAAAAAGATAAATTTATGTTGTCATAAACTGTGATGTCAGCTTGCCAGATGAAGTGGAAATTTTAAGAATCTGAGAATCAGCTTATTGAGTTCAAAAAACAAAACACTCGATATGACTTGAATCAAATCATTCGTTTACACAGGTATAATGGATACTTTTATAATATTGAGTGTTTCTTGCTCAGAACAGAATGTGTCTTCTTTTTTGTATCCTTCAACAAAAATATTCCTTCATTTAGATGTTGCAAATTTCTTAACTTTCTCAATATTTTACATATATATAATTATACGTATATATAGACATTTTTCTTTCTTTTATAACCTCTTATTCTTTTTTTCTTTCATTTTTGCACCTTGTACCTGCTCTTCTTGGTTTGCATGCTGTTCCTTTTCTAGTTGAGTTGTGGGTCCCCAAGACACTCTGAGGCTCAGTGATTCTCTAGAAGGACTCACAGGATTCAGAAAAACTGTTATACTCAAGGTTGTGTTTTGTTATAGTGAAAGGATACAGATTAAAATTAGCCAAGAGAAAAAGATGCGTGGTGTAAAGCCTAGGAGAAAACTGGTGTAAGCTTTCAGGTGTCTCCTTTCAGGGGAGTTGCACAGGGACATGCTTAATTCTCCCAGTAACAGTGTATAAGAATATGCAGGAGTATTGCCAACCAGGGAAGCTCACCTGAGCTTCCACGTCTAGGGTTTTATTCGGACATCAGTCATGTAGGGGTTCAGCCTCCAAGAAGTGACACCACCTACTTGGACTCCAGCTGCCCCCAGAGGTCAAGCTGAATACAGCGTGGCCCAAGGCCTCAGGCATACAAAAACACTCTTATCAGGCATAATATTCCAAGAGTTCAGAGGTCATGTCCCAGGAACCAGTCAAGGGCCAGTATTAAAAAGATAGACCTTCCTTAGGAATGTGCAGAGTTTGAGGAACCCAGGCCAGCCAAGTAAACTCTTTCTTGCACACTGGTAAATGCATGCTAATTCTTTAAGACCGTGTGTAAGTGTCACCTCTTCAGTGAAAACTCAACCAGATTCACTGTAAGAAGTTAGTTGCTTTCATATTTTTGCTCCTACAATTACTTATAATTATCTTTGTAGTTGTGTTATACTGTTTCTTGAAAGGTTTTTAACTCATGTCATCTCAAATGTGAAAATATTTATATTCTTTGTCTCCTTTCTCACCATATTCTTTCTTCCTTTGATTAGAAAAGTTGTTTATATGTATTTCCTTTGAACAAAATCTTTGTATGCGTTTTATATTATAAAAATATTTTGTTTTCAAATATATAATTAAAATTTGATTTTGTTTTAACCATATATATGTCTGCTGGGAGACTGACATTCCTACTTTTAGAACGACATTTTAATTGTTTTCATTTTCCATTAGAACTACTGTATAAGGTTCTGTAGTTTGTGTACTCACAACTCTTGGGGACTCTGTTTACATCCTGGTCAGTGCTTCCTATAGTTGTGCATGGTATAAAGTAAAAATTATATACTAGTCTTGAACCCTTTCTTGACAGCAAGCATTGTGTCATTCATAGTATATCTTCAGTTTTATGGCTGACACGTAGTAATCAGTTTGTTGTGTTGACTGTGGTGCTATTTTTTAGTTCTTAACTTTAACTTCCATATGTTACCTCAGCAGGTTTATCTGTTCTGATAGATGCTAGAACGCTAGCAGGTGAAGGCACAGATGATCTTTCTTCCCACATTAGCATGAATTCAAGTAGTTCTGAACCAAGTCAGAATTTATAAGATGCTATGTATTTCTTTTGCTGCTGTAAGAACGTTGCCATAAACTTGGTGGCTTAAAACAACACACATTCTCTTATTGTTTTGGAGGCTTAAGTTTGAAATCAGTTTTACTGGTCTAGAGTCAGTGTCAGCAGGTCTGGTTTCTTCTGGAGGCTCTGAGGAGAGAATACATTTCCCTGTCTTTGTTCAGCTTATAGTGGGCACCTGTATTTCTTGGCTTGTGGCTCCATCTCCAAAGCGTATTACTCCAATCTCTGCTTCCATTATTAATTCCCTTCTTCTCTTCTGTAGTCTAATCTTCTTCTGCCTCCCTCTTAAAAAATCCCTTGTGATGACATTTAGGGCCTACCAAATAATCCAGGACAGCAGTCCCATCTCAAAAGCCTTAATTTAATCACATCTGTGAAGTCCCCTTTGCTGTATAAAGTGACACTGATGGGTTCCAAAGATTAGAACCTGGATATCTTTTGGGGCCATTATTGAGCCAACCACATACTGTAATAAAGAAGCGCCTTTAGGTTTCATTTATAATATTTTGCATATTAATGCTTGTTTTTGCTTCCTAAATAGGGTATCGTTTTTCCACAATAGAATAACTCAGTGGATTATTTCACTCATCTCTTAGTGCTCCTTTCTTTGGTCTTGTATATGACATATGAATGAGTAGTTTCCATATGGGCATCACGTGCAATTTCCTTATTTTTTCCTGAGGAATATTTCTTAATGTTATCATTTTGTGTTTTAGTTGGCGTAATACGGTGCCCAGTATGCCGCCAAGAATGCAGACAGATAGACCTTGTGGATAATTATTTTGTGAAAGATACGTCTGAAGCTCCTAGCAGTTCTGATGAGAAATCAGAACAGGTATGCTTCTCAGTTTTTCTTTATATTCCTATCTTGATATCAAAATGTAAATTATAAGAAAAACATGTTTGGATAGTTACATAATTTAGGGTAGTTCTGCTATAATTCCATCTTTCAAATTGAAAATAAAGGATATCTTTATTCTACACCCTCAGACCTGGTTAAATGAGACAAGAAGTCATTACTTAAAAATTCAAATCTTATACAGATTTTGTGTTCTGACTCTTAGATTTTTACCCATCTGAATGTTTGATCTAGGAGGAAAAGGATTTCGTTGAAGATAAATGGATAACAAAATTTTATTCTGGGTACAATGAATTTGAGAGCAAGTTAGAAAGTTTTCACCTTTTTATTTTATGGATCTATATTTTGTAAATTTAACGTAGATTAGTATTTATTTCCTCTTTTAGGTATGTACTAGTTGTGAAGACAATGCAAGTGCAGTTGGCTTTTGTGTAGAATGTGGAGAGTGGCTATGTAAGACATGTATTGAGGCACATCAGAGAGTCAAGTTCACTAAAGATCACTTGATCAGGAAGAAAGAAGATGTCTCAGGTAAGAGAGAAGCAGTTTTATTGATTACTATTAACCTCCCTCTTTTGCCCCTGTAGCATTTCTACTTATTCTTTATAAGCTTTGGATACCAATGTTAACGAGAATTTAGAAAGGCAAAAATTTTATTTAGTTTAAAAATATATGTTTTATTTTGCTACAGAGTCTGTTGGAGCATCTGGTCAACGCCCTGTTTTCTGTCCTGTACACAAACAAGAGCAGTTGAAACTTTTCTGTGAAACATGTGATAGACTGACATGTAGAGACTGTCAGCTATTGGAACACAAAGAACATAGGTACAGAAGTCATAATTGCTTAACAAGAAATATTATAAAAAGTTCATGTAAATTTGATTATTCTTCCTAAAGCAAATATTTATTCGATACTTTTGTTTGTTAGCATTTTAATTCTCAACTTTGTATATTTTATTTCTTAAAGCAAGATATGTTTTTGATAAATTGTTTAATGGTTTCCACGTTCATACCTAATTGTCTTATGAATGTTTGTTAAAAATGTATCATTACATGGGTTTGGGTTGATAAGAATGGAGTTGTATTATTTCTTTGTTTGCTATGTCTCTGGTTCAGATAATCTTTTTTCAAGTGTACTGTGGTATTTAGGCTATGGGCTGTCATCTAAAAGTAATATTCCCATGGGTATGGTTAGCTGATATGCATTTTAATATCAAAGCGTAAATATACTGATTTCATGTTAGATATACAATTTGCAGAAAAACTAGGGATTTATGATCATCTAAGTAAGCATAATTACTAATTCTTTAATACATAACTTAATATTTCAACCCTGTTTTACCCTCAGAATTTAGTAGTATTCCTTATCACCAGTCTTTTACTTTTGAACTGTTATCACCAGTCTTTTACTTTTGAACTGTTGTGGAAACATACTGAAATTTTTAGTCAGGTGTATAACAGAATTCTCCAGTAAATTTCCCGGTTTCTGTGGCATCTGTTTATTACAATTAAAAAGATGGTCTTGCCTGCCTGTAGTCCAACATTTTCTAAGGGTTGTTCTTATGACAGTTTTGCAAAATTGATGGAATAGGTTTTATGAATCTCCTGCCAAAAAAGGGGTAGGTTAAGTTAGATTAACCACACTTAGATGCGTTTCTTAACTGTAGGGTATCTTAGAGCTTTTAATTCATTAGATTCATTGGAATTCATTAGAATCCTCTTAAAGAGGAGATACATTAATCCTAATCACTATTTTTTAAATATTATTTTTTAGTCTTTTTTTTAAATAATTTTTTTATTATTATTTATTTATTTTTTCCCCCAAAGCCCCAGTAGATAGTTGCACGTCATAGCTGCACATCCTTCTAGTTGCTGTATGTGGCTGTTTTAAAGGTGAGGGAGCCTGCTTACAGAAGGTGTTAGTAATCTGTACAAGGTCTCACCATAAGTGATAGAGCCAGGATTTGAACACAGGCAGCTGGACTCCAGATGTATTTTAGCCCATATTCTCGTTTTCTCCCATCTGGTATATAGAATATAGTATATATGGAATCTCTCAAACTTGACCACATAAAAGTAATGCTCTTTGTTCTTTTTCAAGGCACCTCTCACTGTTCATTTGTTTAGAAATGCTACTGTAAACTTTTGTATCCTTAATCTGTTTCAAAATGTGTCATCTTAGCTGCAAGTTGGCTGCTAATGTTTTATATGAAGTGACTAGTCTTGTGGATGCCTTCACTTCTGGGCCAAATCTTACCATTGATTGTCTTGTAATAATCTCAGTCAGATATTACATTACCTTTCTCATGGCTGCAGTGAGATCTTTGAGCGCTTAGATTTCTTAGGGCTTTTTAAATTGATGGTGAAAAGCAAAGGGAAAGGAAGGTGGCATCCTTTTTCCCATGAAAGAATAGCTTCAACCACCCTTCCTCCAGAGTTTAACCACTATCCTTCCCTTTCCGTCACCATTTTCCTTTACCACTTATGACCAAGTCCTAATTATCTCTTGAATGTTTCCTCCCTTTTCTTTATTTTTTATTTTTTTTAAAGATTTTATTTATTCATTTTTTTCCCCCCAAAGCCCCAGTAGATAGTTGTATGTCATAGGTTCACATCCTTCCAGTTGCTGTACGTGGGACTTGGCCTCGCGTTGGACGGAGAAGTGGTGCCTCGGGGCGCGCCCGGGATCCGAACCCGGGCCGCCAGCATCAGAGCGCGCGCACTTAACCGCTAAGCCACGGAGCCGGCCCATCCTCCCTTTTCTTTAGTTCACGCTTTATATTTTTTCTGGATAGACTATTACAGAACCCATGTCATTGGACTTAAAAGCCTAGAATCCTGTTACTACAACACATTTACAACTGGTCTCCCTACTTTGAGATTTACCTTGTCAGATTCATTCTGTCCACATTGCTGCCAGGATTATTTTGCTCAAGTTTAGTTTCCCTCCATCTCCCTTTTTTTTTTTTTTTTTACACACCCTTCAAGTGGTCCCCCATAGTTGAAATTTAAAGTGTTCGATATACTATGCATTATTGAGTCTTACCAGAGTATTTCTCTTCATCATCTGTATGAAGTTAGGAAACAGTCCACAAGAGTGATACCAACTTCAGAGTTCAGTAAAAACCCAAACATAGGGGAAAACAGCATGCACTTCAGCTCATTGATATGATTTGTTGTTACTTTCTTCAGTTAAAGTAGTGGTCTTCCAAACACGACGCTGTTCATTCTCTTTGGAACTGGCATCCATAAGCCAAGCGGCTCTTCGTTGGTTAACAGAGAATTTTTCATAGGGTACCACCCATGTGTTCATAGGATTCATCAGCTCTTTGGGTGGTTCCAAGTCATACTTAGGGGAAAAGAGGCTTCCTGCTTATAAATATGATAAATACCTCTTTGTATCCTCCTGGTCACATGTTATTGCACAAACCATTTCTATTTTTATGGAACTCTTGTGGGCATTACCTTCCTTATTAGAGTGTTCATCACCCAAGACATTATGGATATTTCAGGTTTCAGGGTTATTTATGTCATTAAGTCATAGAGTCAGTCTCAATGCCCAACAGCAAGCTGGTAATTTTCTCTCAAATGGTGTATATTTTACCGTGGCATCCAGAAATTTTCTGGTCCAAAATCCCAGAGGTTGCTGCTGAGTGGCACTCAGGCTTTTCCCACAAGCTCCAGTGTGCATAAGTACCTGTTGCCAACACTTCCAAAATTATGTCTGTGTGTGGATCATAGGGACCCAAAAGCATCGAGAGAGAGATACTGCTTATTGCAATTGAGACAAGGCCTGCCTTTCTTCAGGTCCCCGTTCGAAAATGGCCTTCCTTTGGGTAGTTGTATTGATTAGTGCTAGTAATATTCCCAGATGTGGAATAAGTATCCTTCAGAATTCAAATATACCAACGAAATGTTGGGCTTCTTGTTCTAGGGGTAGGTGGTAAAGCAGTTTATTTTTCTTCAATTGTGGAATGTCAAAGGTGGCTCCTGCCTAGGTTATTCCTAAGAATTTTACCGGTTTGGGCAGGTGCTTGGATTTATTAACAGCCTCTGTTGGTCATATGTGTCTCCATTGCATTTAAGTCAGTCCTACCTTCGTCTTTACTTTCTGATATTATCACGATAACATCCATATAATGTATTGTTACACTCAGGACCTGCACATAAAGTTAGTCCCTTCTAACCAAATTATACCAGTAAGCTGGTGAATTGAAATAACCCTGTGGCAATGTAGTAAACATAAATTGGGATCCTTCCACGTGAAGGAAAATTGTTGTTGGCTGTTTTTCAAGATCGAGGCAGAGAAAAAAACACTTGCAGGACCAGTCACTGAGTACCACTCTCCTTTAGCTTGCTATATATTTTTTTCTACTGTTGAAACCATATCAGGGCCTGCTGATGCTATGGTGGCACTACTTTATTCAAGCTTTAATAGTCTGCTGTTAGTCTTGATGAGCTATCCACTTTTTTCACTGGCTACACAGAGTTATTGTACAGAGAATTCATTGGTACCAGCACTCCAGCTTCTAATTTGTCATTAATGTGGTTATCTCTTTTTGTCTACCAGGTATCCTATGCTGTCTCAAATTAACAACTTTTGTGGGCTTGGACAGTTCTAGTGGTTCCCATTTAGCATGTCTAATCAAGACTGGACTTAAGGTGAATTTACGTGCCTTCTGTTTTACACTACCAGTAAGACATAATATCCATCCCAATAATACGTTCACGTAAAGGAGATGTAATCACTTCACGTAAAGTCTGTTCAGACATTCCAATTTTCATCCAAACTTTTACCTTAATCCTATCAACCATTGCATTTCTTCCCAATCTAATCTTAGCCCCTGTTAGGACTTCAACAGGTTTTAGAATCATAGTGCATTAGGCTTCCATGTCAAGGAATCCCAGAAGTGTCTTTTATTCACCCCCTGGCTAGTGAATAGTGCCTTGGTTCTCCACCTGTGGGTTGAGACAGAAGACTGTGGCTCTCTTTGCAGTCTTTAGTTCAATTAATCCATGGAACAGTCATCCCAGGCAACCTGAGGTCAGGTTTCTCATTGTCATCTTTGCCCTCTATCTTTTAAAATTTCTCCAAACTGGGATAAAGACAGCATACTTATTTAGGACCCTTTAATGTTGGGGACCAGCAGTGGCTCCCATTAGTCAACCCAGCCTCCAGTAGTGCTGCATTAAGACTTGTTTCAACTCCATCAATGTCTGCTTTATTCATGCCATTTTTTAATAGCCATCAAAAGATTTCCCTCCTGGAATAAATCCCTTGACTCTGCCCTTTGTCTTTTCCTGTTTTCTCATGAATCACTCTAATTTTCTTAGCATCTGTAAAGCCCATAAATGGAAGCTGAGACAATAAATCAGATAAGCCCTCTCACATCGTTGCTAGATTTTGCAGCAGGAAGATTACACGGGGTGCCCATGTAAAGCGTCCCCATTAATCACAGTGTTTACTATGACTTGAGTAAGAGGCATACTCAGTAGATGAATATCCCCATCTTCATAATGCCAGTCCAGCATGGCTTGCATAAGAAGCATATCACCCCACTTCTGGGGAGTTCCACTTGACATTTCTAGAAGTACAATTACCCATTTCAGGATGAACAAACTTTATAGGGCCTTTCATCCAGTCTACCAGACTAGCTGTCTCCTTGGGAATGACCTGCTGTGTGTCTGGATTGTGTATAACCATCTGTGGTTGTTCAGTAGTGAGCTGTGGGTCTTGCATCAACACAAACATTGCTCTTTTATTCTGTAGCATTCGGAACCAATGATACTGCCTCTAAGTATTAGCTTTCACAATATTTCAGTAA